TAAACTACGACCGCTGGCGCAAACAACTGACGAAAAATTTGATGACGTCAGCAACAGTGCTAGTACACCATCTAGGCTGATAAGCAATCCTTTGTTTTGTAGTTGTGATATCCTTGTGCAAACTCAGACTGATATGTCAGATGTTCAACATAACCTTGTTTTTATTTAATTATGAAAAGACCGCGCAATCTGACGCAGCGAACTTCGTATCGGTTACCAGAGATGGCGCCGTATGCGGATTCAATGAATTTTCTTCATACATTTGTTTTTCGTGATTTTTTTATGTTTCAGTAGTTCTTATGTTATTCGGGGCACAGACAAATCCAACAAAGCAAAAATCATAAAAATCGGTCCACCCGTTCTCGAGTTATAAATGGTGTAACCGATAGAACTTTATTTTGAATCTATCAAATATAAATTATTACATATCTAGTAACTACATAGTACTATTGTATAATCCATTTAAAAATGTTATTTTGGATCTGTTTGTGAAAATAATGATGTTTTTGAGTACACTGAAAAAACATTTCTCGAACATTCCCACATCAATGTTTGGTCACAAATAATGTTCAGCTTGTTCAGAAAATATTCAGTGTTGGAGCGAAAACAGATGTTGCAAAAACTATTAATTTTAGAATTCAACAGCAACATAAAGACAGAGAAACTTTCAACTGTCCAGAACAAGAAAAAAAAACATAATTCGATTACAAAAGGAGCAATTTAAAAGTTCTAGACATCAGCTGAATGGCTTGATAATCGATAAAGATAGATTACTAAACATTCAAATCGTGGTAGCCTGCCGTTGTCCGTGCGTTAATCAACAGATGGCGACACTCGTGAAATCAAAAAAAAAAATTTTAGTCTGTTATTTTTTCAAATAACTGACATAATTGATATTATAGGCGTGTTCGGTAAATACTCCGCGATTCAAAATATGACAGTGATGACAGATGTCCTCACGATCTTCTATTGAAAGCAATGAACTATAACCAAGAACTAGAATGAGCACACGTATTGACGAACATGAAGCTCAGTGCCGCTGCTGCGGAGGGGATGCCTGAGGCGAAAATTAATTTCAACACGTATTCCAATTAATAAAACCTGTGTAGGTAAATATAACAAAACTTTCCAAAACGTCATATGTCAGCGAGCAACAAAAAAAGAACAACATTCCCCCTTGTGGCATCCGTCTTTGTTGGCTTCATTTTTTAACGGGTATGGCAATTAGTGTGCGCATTCCAGTTCTTGGTTATAGTTCATTGATTGAAAGTTGTAGAGCCGATCACGTGGGCTTGCCATCTTTTTGCTCGCAAAGGATTAACCGAACTCTACTTATGTTGGCATTACTATATTGCTGCTGACGTTCAAACCACTTCCTGACTTAACTTGAAGAAAATACTTGATTTCCATTTGCAGAATCAATGCAAAAAAAAAAAAAATATTTTTATCCTTATATTTTACATGTATGTATTTAAAAAAGGATGCGAATGCACTCAGTGCACTAATGGAAATCGAAAACGCTAACTTAGGTCAGAAAATGGTCTGATTGTAAGCTGACAGAATGTAAAACTGTGCTAGAATTTGGAATGTCTCACATCGAGAAGTGTTGCCAACATAATATCAATTATGTCAGTTATTTAAAAAAAAAAGACTTTATTTACATTTTTGCGTTATTCTTAAAAATAAACCACTCGACACTGATATGCGTGGAAATAGATCTCAAATGTTCAATTATACTGCGTAAGAGTTAGGTGTAGAGGAGCGCTACGATATATCGATATATACATCGATACGCTCTCGATAATGGTTGCATATCGATACAAACTCGTCATATCGATAATATATGGATATGTATTGGCAAGAATCTGGCAATTGGCAGCGGAAATAGGGCAAGGATAACGCACACTACTACACAGGATTACTTATCGGCCTCGTTTTTGGGAATCGTGGCCATATTGTGTAGCACCATTGACAACGTCATCAACTACGTCGTGAACTGTTTGCGCCAGCGTTCGTAGTTTAGAATATTCATTTATGATGAAACATATTATTATTTAATTTTGATTTAACATAATAGGCAAAGAGGAAGATGCAAACGAGATCTAAAAAAGCGTTGTTTTAGACCAGTGGTTCCCAAAGTGGGCGATAACGCCCCCCAGTGGGCGCTACAACCATCTTGGGGGGCGGTAAAGAGCTCAGTTGATTTTGGGGGGCGGTAAGCATAAATTAGTGGGCGGTGGAAAATAAACGAACAATCATAAAAAAAATTAAAATTAAATAGTAAATGGCTTTTTACGGAAATTACTCTTCAACACTATAAAGATAAGGCTCATCATAAGTCAGTCTTTTCGTAGTCAATTTTGGCATGCTTCAAGTTATGACGCAGCCCGAGAGTTCCGACGCAAGTCCCGAAACCCGCACGCATCTCAACTAAGTCTGCTATGACTTGTTTAAAATGTGATACCGCTAATACACGCATTGATCAGTAACAGCTGCATTAAAGTAATTGTATTTTACTTATAAATAACTTCAAAAAGCTCAAAAATTAGCTCCGTCAAATTAGCCCACCCACATTCGAATTTTCTAACAAAATTACAACCACTTTGAACTGTAGCGTTCTGATACCAAAGTTATAAGAAAAAGAAGGTGAGGTGCTAACTTGACACTCAGTCCCCCCCAAAATTTTGGAGATCCGATCAAACAAAAATGAATTCTTATGCAATCGGAAGTGTGCTGTATCAGGTTTTTCTCGAAATTTCCATATTCGGTCATTGTACTGGACTGTGCTGTATCAGGTTTTTTTCGAAATTCCCATATTCGGCAATTTTCAGGCAAAATCCTATTGGGGGGGGGGCTAACTTAACGCTCAGCACACAAAATTTTGGGAATAAGATGAAACAAAAATGGACTCTTATGCAATCTGAAGTGTGCTGAACTGTGCTGTATCAGGTTTCTCAAAATTTCCATATTTGGTCATTTCCTGAAAAAATCCTACTGGGGGTGCTAACTTGACGTTCTGGCGTTCTGATACCAAAGTTATAGGAAAAAGAAGGTGAGGGGCGAACTTGACGCTCAGTTCCCCCAAAATTTTGAAAATAAGATTAAAAAAAATGGATTCCTATGCAATCTGAAGTGTGCTGGACTATGTGCTGTATCGGGTTTTTCTCGAAATTTTAATATTCGGTAAATTTTCGACAAAATCCTAGTGGGGGAGCTAACATGACGTTCAGGTTGTGGTTCAGCCTCCCAAAATTTTGGAAATAAGAGGGAACAAAAATGGATTCCTATGCAATCTGAAGTGTGCTAAACTGTGCTGTATCAGGTTTTTCTCAAAATTTCCATATTTGGTAATTTTCTGACAATATTCTACTGGAGAGATAACTTGACGCTCAGCCTCTTGCCCAGAGAACGCACGACCATTAAAATTTTCAAAAAGAAGGCGCCGCTTCAATATCTTGGATCCCTGCCAAAGGGGGCGTTGGATAATTTCCATTTTCTAAAAGTGGGCGGTAGGTTAAAAAAGTTTGGGAACCACTGTTTTAGACTATTGATTAATGTAGTAAAAGCAAGTATACATAAAGAAAAAGCCAGCGGAATCCTAACCTGTGGTGCAAACACCCTACGTCAAAGCGAGAAGCGACACGCTGCCTACGTCATCACTGGTTGTTTGGCGTGGTGGGGGCTTGAGATTTGATCTACACAGGCTTCAGGCTTTATGACGATAAGCTATCCTGTAGTAGTAGTGTGTATTATCTTTGGAAATTGACCTACTTATTGTTACCAGGGCTGCGTTCAATTGAGTCCAGAAATGGTTATACGAGTTTTGATTGGATAGCGGGATCTGTCGTCTGTCATTTTTGACGCCGTCGCGGAAGACAAGTGCGTTCGAGCCGATCATAAATAACAACACAAATAATACAATACAAAAAGCTTCTAGAACGGAAGTGGTGAATAGATAATACCAAGGCTGACGATCCGAAAATAATGAATTTGAGAATTTTTTAGAAAATTAAAAAATAGCATAAACAAAGCAGGGACAAATTTATAGGTTAATTTGGGCGACAAATTGATATCAAATTCAAATTTCACTGGCATGAGAAACGGTATTTGGTGTTCCAGCAAATTCACACCAGATCTGGCATTGCCGGTAGAAGGGGAAAAGTAGGTTTTGGCATTAGCATTGCCGTCCTTGAACGCACTCCTGTATGCGCGCGCAACACGAGGCAATGCCTTTTTATTGGCTAACTAGTATAGGTGTCCATTTTGCATGATTAACTAAGCTGCGTTTAAATAAAAAATAAATATATAACAATCTCTATCTGTTACAGAGTCCCAGCTCTGATAACTTTTATGACGTCATCTGTATGCCTAAACATAATGCATAAGGAAATAATAACCACCTGAAAACGTCCTGTTTGCCATTACCAGACAACCTTTTACAAACAATTGAAATTTTGCTAATGATATCGGTATCGTTGTCGAAATTTGTCATCATATAAAAATCAAAAATTTCGATAGTGTCTGATAATAATAAAGACATGAAATTGCAGTAGAGAATTAAAAAAAAAAAATGTGTCGATATCGATGTTGAATATCGATTAGCCCTCCTCTACTTAGGTGTACTAGCTAGTGAAGTGACACGTTACAATCGTCATCTGTTAACAGTTGACAGGTAAAAATTTTTAACCTCAAAACCGAATAATTAAAACTTCAAGAAGTGGTAAATAAATAAGACTAAGGTATTTATCATGGAAACTATAAGAAAATACTTAGGAATGGTTCTATTTGTCGGAAATATAAAACAATTTTTCAATGGTGGTCCGTCATTCTATCGCGTTGCCATATCTTTCATCGTCGACCGCGTCAGCCAGGAGCTTCACAATTTCAATTTATGCTCCCCGGACGTTTTACTCTGGTCAACCGTGTTACTGGGATGTACGTTGCTAACGATTCTTGTTAAAGCATGGTTCGATCTGCCGAGCTTTCGCCGCCTAAGGATCATGTTGAAACTTACCGCCGTACTGATGTTATGGGACGCAATAGATTTAATTGACGGTTGGTATGCACATTTTAACGAAGATGAAGCAGAGCCCGTGATGGAATCCAACTTTACCAATCATCACGAAAGCGCCATCAATGCTTTACAAAAAATAAATAACTGTTGCTGTTCACCAGAACTCAAAAATGAATGCGGAATGCCGAACACCTACGATAATGGATCAGTTTCGAATGATGATTTGCACGATGAGCAAGGATGTTTGAGTATGGGGTCTGCTTGTAGAAGACACACCATTGTCCTCATTGGATGGATTACATTGATTAGTACTGTTGTCTTCGATGCAATTATATCAAGTTATTTAAATTATCTCACAGAAAACGAGGATGAAATTGACGATTTAGAGGAAGACGAAGAAGATCAAGGGGAAGATGAAGCTGAAGACCAAGATGAAGCTGAAGACCAAGATGAAGAAGAAGACCAAGATGAAGCTGAAGACCATGATGAAGAAGAAGACCAAGATGAAAATCAAACCTAATTGAATATTTTTATCTATTTTGTCTAGAATTAAAGTTTTTGCATTTCTTTAATCGCTTGTTATTTATATCGATGCGGCGTGGTTGAAGCAACCCAGAGTGAGTCGTTGTCTGAAAAAAAAAAAACAGGGTTTTGGTGGATTCTAGACCATTTTCAAACATTTTCCTAGACAATGACCAGGCATATGATGGCGAGCAAAATTGCAGATGACAATGATGGCATCAAAAGTAATCAACTAATATGGTTTGGACACCTCATTGAATGCCCCCAAGAACTGACTGAGCAAGCAAATATTTCTACGATAATCACGAAGGATCGAGAGGACCAGGGAGAACAAGGTAAGGCTGGAGAAAAGGCACTGACAAAAAATTGAGAGAGAGAGAGAGTAGGTAAGTTTGAAGTATGCTTTTAAAACGACCGAGATAGATTGAGATTGGTTTACAATTATATGAGATTACTACCACATACAGCGGTATCTCTGGTGTCTCTCCGAATTGCAAAGGTAAATATATTGATGTATTGAGAAAAATTAAGCTTGTTTTATTTTGACAATTTTGGTTTAGAGAAAATGTTATGCACTTTTACTACCCCCACGCTATCATCATCACTCCGGACGAGGGTACATTTCCATTTCCAGATGAAAAAAATTGACCTCTAGTCGGATTCGCCTTATTGGCATATTTACACCCTCTTTTACACCCACCATCAAAATCTTTCAGGGCAATAAATCCGATTAACATAAACGAATAAGCAGCTAAGAAGAAGCCCTGCCGATATGAATTAAAACGCAAAATCCATTATATGTCGAAAACTCCATTAGCTAAAATTTAAAACTGGCTCTTTGGAGATGCAAATTTAATTTTGACCCAGATACAAAAAAGTTGGAGATCGATTCATTCGTATATACCTATCTAATGGAGAAATATGGACTGCGAATTACATTGGGATTTATTTATTACCGAATTATTTGATGCTCATAAAATAGACAAATCCGGCAAATATTTGCAGCTATTTTAAGGGTTATTTTTAGACTTATTTATCAAAAAGTATGAAATGTTATTCTTATTAATGGCCACTGGCAAATTTAATTTGCGCTGATAAAAGCTTTTGGACCAGAAAGTATTAAAATGAAGGTTATTAAATAGGTAATAAAATGTTTATATTTTTGTCATATGACTCAGCATAAAACTTTATGGATGAAAAATCTGGGAATTAATTCCGAAACTGAATTAAAATATTGCTACAAATATTAAATTCTAACTGGTAAATCAAGGTATTTCTATTTTAATAGTTCCAATTTGTAACGCAACAAATAAAATCTGTCTCTACTCAATTTTACCTTCCTAACCTTTTGAAATTCAATACAATCACAAAGTGAGAAGTGTGAAAAATTATAGGTAAAAGAATAAATAAATATTTAAGCGACATCAGGTATAGAAATAGCAAATAAAGTGATCTCATAAAATATACAATTGAAGAGCGTTACAAATTGACAGACCACCCTTGGGTTGCCCTTATTTGAAGTAGGTAAATCGAATTTGAATATTTGATGTTAGGAAACCATTGATTCAATCAATTAAGAATATAGGTATTTGATAGTCCTTCAGGACTTCAATTTTTTATTTTATTTTTTTTTCAAAGCAACAAATTCAATGTCAGATATAATGAAATTACACAAAACACGACATGGAAAATGGATAAAGCCCTTAAACTAGATAAATGACCAAAGATATAGTTATCGTCCGATATTGGGAGTATAGTAAAAAAGCCAAACTTGTCTGCCCAAAAACGATTTATGGCTCAAGAATAAGATAGATCTATTAACGATCAACGATAATGCTTATGGAAAGATTTGGGACCGACAAAAACTGGGTTGTTTGTCGTTGAGCCAAATTTTTCAACTCCTGTTTCTACTCGTTGTGAACAAATTTATTATTCGAACAAAGAAAAATGGCGCTGATGCCAAGTTTTGTAGAATCTGGTAATAACTGACACATCTTCAACTTCAAAGATACCTACTTTTATACAGCAAGTATGTACCTACTAAAATAGCCTACTTCGTGTTTCGGTCATAACGTCTGGTGGTATCCAGAGCCATTTTATATTGGGTCTCTTTTTGAAGAAACTATTTTTGATTTATTAGAACAAGATTTTTTTATCCTAGTTATCCATAGAACCTCTCAACTATTCCATTTCTGGATCCGTATCCGAAGTTAGCCAATTTTGTGTTCGTATGCCTATGCCTTTCTCTATGACTGTTGCTAACTTTTCAAGGAAAAATTCTACTATTGGAAAGTCTTGACTTTAAATGCGTTTCCTCATTGAAAACCCTATACCCTATACCTTCGTATGTTTTGTTTTCAGGTCACCATTCTATAGCCTCGTTGATCAATCAGTCATTTGAAAAATTTTAGTTACCCGATTACCGATTTCAATTTTTTTTTCTGAAAAAATATCCAAATAAAAATAATGCAATATTTCTATACCCTATACAAACCAAAGTAGAAAACTGTCTCTTATAAGGTTGTAAATAAATCGCCGACTGAATAATAGGATGAAGAAGGTATCCGACCGCAATATGAAACCATCCAGGCGAAAACAAGGTTTGAAAAGGCATCTTTCAGCCGATATTCAACCGTTTCGGTATTATTTATGATCAAGATAGCGCAGATGTTCGTTCGTTCGGACGAAAATGCAACGCGTGACAATGTTGAATCGCGTGTGCGGCTATTGATTTTTTCTTTTTTTCATCCAACCGGGATCCTGGATAACACTTAAGTTTGGGGTGTCTGAACTCTTAATTGATGCTTAACAATTTTAGCGAAAGAGTGTTATTATAACTAAACTTAATTAGGATGGATATTATAAAACTATTTTGACAGAAAACTAAAAGTTAACTTCTCGATTTACTATGGAATTCTAGAAGTTAACTTTCAAAAAGTTTTATAATACCCACCCTTAACCCAAATATTGGGTCTCGCTGCTTTGTTAAGGACACATAAAGCAATAAGCTGTATTTTTGTCAGAAAAGCCAGGAAATGTTGGGTTTCCAAACTACTTCTGAGTTGGGCCTCAGGAATGCAATGCAAATAAATTGGGATCAATAGCACAAAAACTGAATAAATTGATAAATTGAACCTAATAATAATCATTCAATTTGATAAAAATAATCCAGAACTTCCATTGGAATGAGATTATTCTAAAGCTTAACATCGAATGCCAAATGGGTTCTTGGGACTCTCAAACGAAGTCTATCTACGATGCAATTTATATAAAAAAAAAACATGTCAATTTTCTTTAATAGCAAATCGATAATGTATGGGTAAACAAGCTATTGAGGCTATAAGATGCCCTTTGAAATGTTTATTTTCTGCTTGAAGTGATAGGAGGTAGGATAGAGACAGGGATTATTTTAATGGAAATTTCAAAAACTTCATAAACAAAATTAATTATCGGGTATTTTTAGAATGGCATATTGCATAACAAGTTTAGAAAATTGAGTTTTCTCAGTCAATACCTAATTTCAACCGATTAAAACTTCTTTGTACCAGAAAATGCATATATTTTTAATTTTTCAATTTCTTATAAGACCAAAATTTTCAAACAAAATAAAACATTTGCATAAGTTCCATAATGTAATTTTAAATCAATAATCTGGTCTAGGAATTTTGGGTCTAGCTTTCCTTTTCTTAGTTTTTGTCTGGAGCATATTTACTAGTTTTTATTGTTTCTAACCCGCTAACAAATGACTCGGGAAAGTTGTAAATTTAAGAAGATTGAAAGAACAACTTTTAAAAGTAGGAAAGAAGGTACTTTAAAAAGAAACAAGAAGGAATAGTATAAGCGCTGAAACAAAGAAATTGATGAGGCAAAGAAGAAGTTTGCTAAAAGTATGACAAATGAAGTAAAACAGAACATGGAAACATCTAGTGTAGGCAAATAAAACAAAAATTTGACCAAACCTGGACACTTGAAATAAAATGCTGAAAATTGGTAAAAATTTTAGGGATAATGTCTTTATTGAAATCCCGAAATTCCCAAAAAATCTATCTTGGGAAAAATCCGGTATCTGGAAAAAACTGGCCCCATGTTGGAATACCTATTCAAATTTTAAGCATAGCGAGTAAACCGAGCGTCCGATTTTATTTGTTTTTGTTCCAAATTATTATATCTTTATCTTCTCCATTATACTTGAAAACATTAATAAGTAGTTGAATTGGAACATGCTGAGCTAAAATTTAATTTTAGAACAAAAAACAGGACGCGACGATGAAAATGTGTTAAGTTACCCGCGCTAAGCGGATGCATTGCGGGCGAATAAACTGGCATGTTGCATGTAATGGCATGTAATAATGACAGTTGAGTTGTAGAAGGCACTACTGTACCTACTTGGATTTCGTTAAATTGTGGCGCATGAAAAACCGTTAACGTGTGATTTCTAACTAAACTTTTTACGCGCCATAATTTAAAAGGCTCTAATAACAGAAGCGCCCTCTACAACTCAAATATCAATATTACGGCTGTCATTTGGTGAGTCGACGTTGTTGTATATCGTAAAAAAATAGCTGTGTTCTGTGATCGTAATAGACCTACGGCCGAGAAGCAAATAAGTCACCTCATCGGGTACAAAAGGTTCGAGTTTCTTGGATGAAAGTACTTTATGTGCATATCTCAAAATCGGTCGTCTGCCGGGGTCCAGCGGTCAACTTCACAAATGACAGCTCGTCAAAAAGACGAAAATCTGGGTTTTCTCACGTCATTGGTACATGCCTAAAAATTTCAGAATGTGTAAGGGAAAAGCTCCTAGATACCTAATTCGGCCGGCAGACGTCGATATTTGGACGCCTATGTAAAGCAGACGCCCGCCGCGACGCCGAAAATATGGCGTAAGTGACCTTATGAGGTACATATGCAAATTTGGGCTTAAATGAAAGGTATTTGTGTGTAGAGTAAACAAATATTTTTTAAAATTCGGCAGACGGTCAACAACAAGTTGCAGAC